TACGACGCAAACAATTTCAACAAACCAACCGTTTTCAAACACATCGCACGCGTCAAACCCACGCAACATCAACGCTCTACACTGCACACCAACATCGACCATTCACTTTGATCATAAATATGACACAAAAGCATACGCACACACAAATGGCACCCAACCAGCGCCCACCAACAGTCCACTGAAACACTCTAACTAACCAATAAACACGCCGCAACATACTTTCCCCAACACCGTCACAACAAATTCCGCCTACCTCACACGAACCCTCACACTCTGATCATTCCCATTCCCATCACCAAACACCTGCACATCCAAAACACCCGTCACAGAAACCTGACACAACGGAGACAAACGACTTAATACCTGCACACTCCGCAACATAATTTAATCCACACGCGTCTGCCACTTCACGTGAAACATCCAACCAACAGCCTGCCCAGCAACGATAACACCACTTTCCGCACCACTCACCAAGAACACAGCACAATCGAACTGCGATCGGCACAACTCTTCATCGACAACTACACCACGTACTAACACCAACACAACGACATCTGCCACCACCTCACACAAGCACACTCGAAGCGGAAACATTGCCACAACATTTCTCACGCGCCAACATACATTCCAACTCACACAGCCAACAACACACACATAATGAGCAGCACAACCAACTCACCACACAACACTACGCAGTCTAAAACCAATGGCAACACTAAACACACCAACACATCCGTTAACCGTCTGTCGCATATACGCTATTGAGATCAGACCCAATGGCCCATCACACCCAACGATGACGTCTATTTCGTTCCGCACGACGAATCAGAACGCCACTAGCGCACTGTTGCTTCCCGGAACAATTCACACTAGCAACAAATCCCAATCAAGCAAGCTTCCAAATACACACCACCAACCAAGATCACCAGCATCCACACACGTATCACACCGATACAAAATGACACACAAACACGTACGACGCAAACAATTTCAACAAACCAACCGTTTTCAAACACATCGCACGCGTCAAACCCACGCAACATCAACGCTCTACACTGCACACCAACATCGACCATTCACTTTGATCATAAATATGACACAAAAGCATACGCACACACAAATGGCACCCAACCAGGGCCCACCAACAGTCCACTGAAACACTCTAACTAACCAATAAACACGCCGCAACATACTTTCCCCAACACCGTCACAACAAATTCCGCCTACCTCACACGAACCCTCACACTCTGATCATTCCCATTCCCATCACCAAACACCTGCACATCCAAAACACCCGTCACAGAAACCTGACACAACGGAGACAAACGACTTAATACCTGCGCACTCCGCAACATAATTTAATCCACACGCGTCTGCCACTTCACGTGAAACATCCAACCAACAGCCTGCCCAGCAACGATAACACCACTTTCCGCACCACTCACCAAGAACACAGCACAATCGAACTGCGATCGGCACAACTCTTCATCGACAACTACACCACGTACTAACACCAACACAACGACATCTGCCACCACCTCACACAAGCACACTCGAAGCGGAAACATTGCCACAACATTTCTCACGCGCCAACATACATTCCAACTCACACAGCCAACAACACACACATAATGAGCAGCACAACCAACTCACCACACAACACTACGCAGTCTAAAACCAATGGCAACACTAAACACACCAACACATCCGTTAACCGTCTGTCGCATATACGCTATTGAGATCAGACCCAATGGCCCATCACACCCAACGATGACGTCTATTTCGTTCCGCACGACGAATCAGAACGCCACTAGCGCACTGTTGCTTCCCGGAACAATTCACACTAGCAACAAATCCCAATCAAGCAAGCTTCCAAATACACACCACCAACCAAGATCACAAGCATCCACACACGTATCACACCGATACAAAATGACACACAAACACGTACGACGCAAACAATTTCAACAAACCAACCGTTTTCAAACACATCGCACGCGTCAAACCCACGCAACATCAACGCTCTACACTGCACACCAACATCGACCATTCACTTTGATCATAAATATGACACAAAAGCATACGCACACACAAATGGCACCCAACCAGCGCCCACCAACAGTCCACTGAAACACTCTAACTAACCAATAAACACGCCGCAACATACTTTCCCCAACACCGTCACAACAAATTCCGCCTACCTCACACGAACCCTCACACTCTGATCATTCCCATTCCCATCACCAAACACCTGCACATCCAAAACACCCGTCACAGAAACCTGACACAACGGAGACAAACGACTTAATACCTGCACACTCCGCAACATAATTTAATCCACACGCGTCTGCCACTTCACGTGAAACATCCAACCAACAGCCTGCCCAGCAACGATAACACCACTTTCCGCACCACTCACCAAGAACACAGCACAATCGAACTGCGATCGGCACAACTCTTCATCGACAACTACACCACGTACTAACACCAACACAACGACATCTGCCACCACCTCACACAAGCACACTCGAAGCGGAAACATTGCCACAACATTTCTCACGCGCCAACATACATTCCAACTCACACAGCCAACAACACACACATAATGAGCAGCACAACCAACTCACCACACAACACTACGCAGTCTAAAACCAATGGCAACACTAAACACACCAACACATCCGTTAACCGTCTGTCGCATATACGCTATTGAGATCAGACCCAATGGCCCATCACACCCAACGATGACGTCTATTTCGTTCCGCACGACGAATCAGAACGCCACTAGCGCACTGTTGCTTCCCGGAACAATTCACACTAGCAACAAATCCCAATCAAGCAAGCTTCCAAATACACACCACCAACCAAGATCACAAGCATCCACACACGTATCACACCGATACAAAATGACACACAAACACGTACGACGCAAACAATTTCAACAAACCAACCGTTTTCAAACACATCGCACGCGTCAAACCCACGCAACATCAACGCTCTACACTGCACACCAACATCGACCATTCACTTTGATCATAAATATGACACAAAAGCATACGCACACACAAATGGCACCCAACCAGCGCCCACCAACAGTCCACTGAAACACTCTAACTAACCAATAAACACGCCGCAACATACTTTCCCCAACACCGTCACAACAAATTCCGCCTACCTCACACGAACCCTCACACTCTGATCATTCCCATTCCCATCACCAAACACCTGCACATCCAAAACACCCGTCACAGAAACCTGACACAACGGAGACAAACGACTTAATACCTGCACACTCCGCAACATAATTTAATCCACACGCGTCTGCCACTTCACGTGAAACATCCAACCAACAGCCTGCCCAGCAACGATAACACCACTTTCCGCACCACTCACCAAGAACACAGCACAATCGAACTGCGATCGGCACAACTCTTCATCGACAACTACACCACGTACTAACACCAACACAACGACATCTGCCACCACCTCACACAAGCACACTCGAAGCGGAAACATTGCCACAACATTTCTCACGCGCCAACATAGATTCCAACTCACACAGCCAACAACACACACATAATGAGCAGCACAACCAACTCACCACACAACACTACGCAGTCTAAAACCAATGGCAACACTAAACACACCAACACATCCGTTAACCGTCTGTCGCATATACGCTATTGAGATCAGACCCAATGGCCCATCACACCCAACGATGACGTCTATTTCGTTCCGCACGACGAATCAGAACGCCACTAGCGCACTGTTGCTTCCCGGAACAATTCACACTAGCAACAAATCCCAATCAAGCAAGCTTCCAAATACACACCACCAACCAAGATCACAAGCATCCACACACGTATCACACCGATACAAAATGACACACAAACACGTACGACGCAAACAATTTCAACAAACCAACCGTTTTCAAACACATCGCACGCGTCAAACCCACGCAACATCAACGCTCTACACTGCACACCAACATCGACCATTCACTTTGATCATAAATATGACACAAAAGCATACGCACACACAAATGGCACCCAACCAGCGCCCACCAACAGTCCACTGAAACACTCTAACTAACCAATAAACACGCCGCAACATACTTTCCCCAACACCGTCACAACAAATTCCGCCTACCTCACACGAACCCTCACACTCTGATCATTCCCATTCCCATCACCAAACACCTGCACATCCAAAACACCCGTCACAGAAACCTGACACAACGGAGACAAACGACTTAATACCTGCGCACTCCGCAACATAATTTAATCCACACGCGTCTGCCACTTCACGTGAAACATCCAACCAACAGCCTGCCCAGCAACGATAACACCACTA